AATTGATACTTTTAAATATATGGTACCTATATAACTTATATAAGTTAGACACTGGACTTTGTGCAGTTTTATTATTTGCCACGGTGAAAATTACGCTTGAAGAAACACTTTAATAGATACACGGCTTATTCTTTAATACATTTTTCTCAAAAGAGACAAAAAGAATTCATCGATTATCTAGTTCCGTCATCGGACCGTTAATGGTATTTTTATCTTATTTTATTTGTGTATACAAACTATAGTATACGTCAAAACTAAATTTCACAGACTGGTACCCATTATAGATATATAAAGGTTGTAATCTAATTATAACTCAATAGTTGATGTTCATGTATTTATAATATCTTTCCTGCAAAATACTAATGAGTAGATTACTAATATATCACTAGTGCACTACAAACATAAAATAAAATAAGGGACAATCGAGGTGAATAAACATTCGTTGAATTTGTCAGCCAAATGAAATTATTAGTACAAAAAGTAAATTATTACCTAATTCAAAATGTTAACATTCAATCTATAAATGCAAAATTTACAAGGTCTACTAATACTCAATGTTCAATCTTTTCAATATGTAGGTCGCCATATTGACGATGTCACATTGAAATTTGCAAATTGATTTCATTATTTGAAACGATATGACATCAGTACGTACATAGTCTTCTTCTTTTCTAATATTTATGAGTTTGATGTACAATTTACATAGTTTCTAATGAAACAGATTTTAAAGAAAAGTTGAACCTAGCATCAGCCTTTTCGAATGCACTGCACAGTTTAGTATTTTGTTTTCATTAACATGTCGATCGCCACGGTGGTAGCCGATGACCGGAACTCTAAAATTACTTGAAAACAATTACAAGAGGAAAACTAATGTGAAATCGAAATATTTAATTACATGCATAATGAAATAATAGCACAACTTAAAAGCCATGATACCAAATCGTTAATAAGAGATTCTAATATTATCTGCCTTCGTTGTAAGTGAATAAGTGATGTTATACGAAACGGTCGAAATTCTCGTGGCGGTCAACGTGTTAATAGACAACCTCCACGAAAGTGTAAAATCTTGATCACATTCTTCCTGCCATGCTTCTTCGTAGTTCCAACGATAAATGGAAATGTTTCATCCGTCAACCATTTAGATTTCTCAGATACGCTATCTTTTGAACTCATTTATTCATTCGTCGACAAAACTTCCGACATTGTTTATTATTCGGATAACGGACAGGCCAATACAGAAATGAAACTGATGGAAATTAAATCTTCGTCACACTGTATGGCACCGGTTAAAACTGATACACGCTTCATTGGACGATGCATTTCCGTTTAAAACGGAAATCAAATGTCTTATAAAGTAAAAACTACTTTTGGGAACTAAATAAAACTGTGTGACACTGTTACAATGTTCTACCTGGTAATTAGACTAGCAACTGACAGTTCTTTTTATATTGAGTGCAGTCACTTCCACCTACATTTGTTTTGATTTTGTATTTTTCACGAAATTAGCGTTGTTCGTTTTCAGTATATAATTCAAAAGATTTAAAAATATTCACATAATAAATTATCTTACAATAATTGTATTGGAATTTTTGGAATATCTTCTACGATTAGAATTATCCTTTACGATAATTCTATTGAAATTCTAATTCATCTGATATCATACAAAAATTACGATATCAGTAGAATTATGCAAGGGAGATAATTTCACTATATGTGATTTTACACTGCTTAGAGATATAAGTACTTAGATAAATATGTAATTCAAGTGTATTGTTAGAGAACAGAAATCACTCATATTCGAATAATCAACTAAAGAAAATCGAAATCACTTATATTCGAGTAATCAAGTAGGAATAGAATATAGTGAATCATTAATAAAGATTATTTGACTGATGCATCATTTACATAAATTTTCATTAATGAAAAGTACGAAGTCACCTCATTGTATTATTCAATTAAAATCTTTGCTTTTATTTAAAGAGAAATCATATCAAATTCTTTTCATTTATTATCCACCACTTGAAATGTCTCGTTTAGGTAAAACTGGTTAGTAAATCTTCTTCTAAAAATATACCTAATATTTCAAAACAAACGCGTATGTTGAAAAAAATGTAGCCAATAATTATTAAAAATTCATATTATTGTAGATTGAATTCTAACAATTAAAATGACAATAAATGTCTTTAAGACTACATTTACGGAACGCGATAATTTAACGCATATTGAATTTTACAAATATTATTTTATAAATCTTTACGCTGATTTTAATTGATGCAATTACACGAATACTCAATTACTCTGAATAAACATACATCAATTTCTTTTGGGAACAGTAGAAGACACTGCACAATAAATAGCCGTAAACCCAGTATTAATAAAATAAAATAAAATCAAATAAATGTCCTTCTATCACAAATTTTGTTAGATACTAAGTAAAATGAAGAATTATTATCGTAACTGGAAATAAGTGTATCGTACTGACCTTACTAGAATACTTATCGATAATATCAGGTTTTTAAGGTTAGGTTAAATAGATAACTGTACCTTATCTTTTGCATTACTAATTCTTTTCTTCTCTTAAATCTATATTTTCTAGGTAACGGTATATCGTTTGTGTAATGAAAATGTATCAGTAAGTATGCAGATAGCGCAACATAACAGAGCCTGTCTTAAGCCGCGTTCTCAACGGCTTAGTCTTCTCCGACAGAGTTGCCATATCTCTTTGAAAAACCGGTAGGAAAAGCCGCATGGCTAGGAAATTAGTCAGCTGGATTAATTAACGGCAACGTCATATGACAAAGCATTAAAAAGGATACTGTGAAAAGCGTGAACAGGGCTTTACTTGTGAAAATATTCAAACATCGGTCAAGGCATAAATGGAAATGATGATCAATTAGAAAGAAGTCTGTAACATCTCTAAGATAGTACTTTTAATATTCTAATTTATCTATGTGTTGGTAACACTTTTAAAGTAACATATTTTGTAATAAAATTCACTACCGCCAACATTTTCTGAAAATTTAATTTAGTGGGAATATCTAGCAATACTGCGATCAAATTTGCACAACACTACATAATAAACGTTGATTGATAGAAATCGCTTTTACACAGCATCAAAGTGTTCCAATATCTTAAAATAATTTAAACTCAACAAAAAATACTGACGCGACCTGCTTTTAGTGGTGCATGTTCTATAGGAATCGATGAATATCCA